AGTGGTATGGAATTTGTGATTCCTGGGTGCAACAAAGGTTCCTTACTCCATAGCAATGCTTGCTAGTCCGAGTAATATGTTTTAATTACCATTTCTGCAAAATGCCTATTTTCTCACTAACTTAGAAGAAATCTCTTGTAGAAAAATGTGTAGTCTTTTCTCTGGATGTGAACTCAAGGTATAAAAAAAACAAAGGCTTTGCAAGAGTTTGTGTGAGCAAAATCTCTTGAAGCCTGAAATTAAAATACAACACCTGGTAAAGCTGGACTGGTGTGCAACACTAGGCCAGCAGTCTGAGTCTGTGGGAGCCCAGTCCAAGCCTGTGGGATGGGCTCACACCCTGCCCCATGGCACCACACAGCAGTTCAGCAGAAGGACCACAAGTCCAGCAGCACAAGGTCTCCAAGGCCATTCGGCATCAGCACGTGCACCCCAGCCAAAGGAAACATCTCTCCCCCACTTCCACAAGCGCACAGTGTTCCCCACACAGCCTCAGCCACACCACTCCCCTACAAGGCTCACCGTCCTCGGCCACTCTCCTTGTCTTTAGGCTGATCGGATTCCACTGACTGCTGGCTGGCCTGGGAAACCCTCCGCCGAGCCAGGAACACCGGATCCAGCACACTGACTGCAAGAGGGAGAAAGGGAAGACAACACGTTGTTTTGAGATCATGTGGGCCAGCAGGACGGGCAGAGTTGCTCAGTCGTGCCACACAAGGCTCGCCCACAGTCCTTGCCAGCCCTGGGAGCTGAAGTTCCAGGCAGGCCACTGTCCCTTGCCCACACTGGATCTGCTCCAGAGCTGAATTCCCACCAAGACACCCATCTCTCCAGGACATGGTTTTCCTCCTCTCCTTCTCACAACTCTGCCATCAGAAGGGACCCACCAGGAGGAAGAACAGGGAAGTACTGGGAATCCCCAGGGCCCGCTGGAGGCATTGGGTTGCAGGGGCTGCCCACAGCTCAGAGCCTCTTCCAGAATGGGTCATCCCCCAGTGATCTCAGACCTCCTCCCCTCTCATCAGGGCAAGAGCACCCTCAGTCCCCGCCAGCCCTCAGATGGGACATTACCTCGGCGGGTACCCCCGCCCCAGGGCGCCGACTCTCTGCTGGGCTTCAGGGAAATCACAGGGGCCCAAGGCTGGTGCGGGATCTCCACTATAAGACTGGAAACAAGAAGGCACCAACTGGATGAAGCTGGGGCACCAGGCTCCCTTGGGGGGTCACACTTGTAACTGCTGGCACCCGTCTTTGGGAGCCACTGCCAAGTCCTTGGAGGACACGACACACATGCCCTCCTCAGTGTCCCCACAGACCCTCCTGCCTTGCTCAAAGCAAAATGGCCATTTTGTCTGCAGTCTCCAAGTCAGGGAGAAGTGAGTGGTGGGCAGAGCAGGAAGCTCTCCTAGAAAAGTGCTTGTCCTGCCCAAGTTTGGCTGGAATGGAGGCTCAACGAGCTAGAAGCTACAGAAGCCACGTTGCTCACCTTGGCAGGGTGATGACCTCATCTCGACTGATCCGATTAAAATCATTCTGGCCTGGAAAGGCCACAATCTTCATCATGTTCGAGTCCTGGAAGGGGACAGCCACAGTTCAGCAGACACCCAGAAACATGCTGGCTGCCCACAAAGGTGGCAAAGCCCCTTGCTGCTCAGAGACACAAAGGCCAGAAAGCCTCACACCACCTTCTCCCTTGGTGTCATTAGACCCTCCCTCAAAGGAGCTGACACGCTGCCAGACTTGGCTGAGCTCATCAGGAGCGTGCCTAGGCTGGGTGGTGAGGCAGGTCATGCCAGCTGAGAGGAGGCAGCAGGAAAGCTTTGACAGTGTTGCCACAGAGCCATGAAGAAGAATCCCACAGAAATGACAAACTCACCCCGAGAAGAGCTTTCAGCATGTTTCCTGTCACATCTGGCTCCAGCAGCCAGTGATCAAAGAAGGTCATGTTGACCACTTTTCCTCGCACAGCAAGGATACCAATGCCCTTGAAGGAGAATTCCACCTCCTTCTCGTCTGCAAGGGCCCCAGCAAAGCAAAGCAGGGTCTCATGTACACACAGCTCCACAATTTCTCGGCGGAAGTGGGTGTCTGCAGCAATCTCCCCAAAGTCCAGCTGAACAACAGGTGTCTCATCTAGGACGCAAGCACAAAGCAACAGGGTGTCTGCTGAACTGTCCCCACAGGTCAGCCAGCTCGGAGACAGTGCTCCCCTTTTAACTTCAGCCACCTCTCCCAAACAGAGCTGGTGGTCAAGAGAGGCCAAGCAAAGCTTTGCCTCCTGCTGCAATCAACCAGCTGGAGCATAGGGGGAGCTGGGGAGATGAGGCTGGCTCCCCAGGGAGGGGCAGGCTGCTGGGCTGCCCTGTGTGTGCCCACACTCAGCACTCTCCAGGTTGGATGTGCCTTTCCTTGGCCATGTCAGAGCTGTTGGCAACAAGCCAAATGCACGGCCTGTGCAGGGAAAGTATTCCATCTTCTTACCAGGAATTTTGGTTTCATCGCACTCAAGGTTGTAGAACGCCTGCAGGGGCTTGCTCACAATGAACACGGGTCTCTCAACAGTCAAAACCTTGCCCTCTTCCACAACAGCTTGCACTGGGACAAGTGCAAATGTCCCAACTCCAATGTCCACTGCCTGGAAACACAAGCAAGAGGAGGGAGCATTGGCAGGGCTGTCCAGAGGTGGGTTGGCGGCCACATGACTGGCATGGCCCTGGGGATGGCACTTTGGGCCCTGCTCTGGAGGTCCAGAGGGACAGGGTGAGGCACGTGCAGCAGGCAGGACTCACCCTCTTCTGCAAGAGCTGTCTGTGGATGTAGCGAGATGCTCCAGACCAGATTTTCCAGACTTCTGAAAAGCAAAGAAGAAGCCCTGCCATGCTCTGATTCAGTGACAGCCACCACCCCTGGTGCCCCTGCCCATACAGCTGAGAGTGGAGCGCCCTTAAGCCCCCCTTGCCCTGAGTAAGCACTCTCATCAGCAGGGCTGCCCAACTGTGTCTTTGACTGCAGGCTCAAAGCAACCCACCCTGTGTCCATGATGGGCCTGGCGAGGAAAGACAGGCAGTAGTTCTGGGAAGGGGATTTCCACTCCTAGACACTGCCAGTTACTGGAGGCCTGGACTAACAAAGTCACCCCAGAGCCTCAAGGCACCACAAGGCAGGGTTCTCCTTACTGCAGTCTGTGCCGTGCAAAAAAGCCCCCTCTGTGGCCGCAGCCTCGGGCTTTCCACAGCTCATCTCCATGTAATCTTGGCCCTGACAATGCTCCTGAAAGGGACTTCCATGGCCTTACCACTGTTGCTGAGCTCTTTGAGAGTTGGGAGGTCCCCCGGCCCCACAGGCTTATAGCGCATGTACTTCATCATCT